GCTGCCAGGGCCTGTTCTTCGACGAGGCCTATGGCTTTTACCCGGGGCAGGTGCTGATCGGGCCCTCCAAGGTGTTCTCCAGCGTGCAGTGGCTATCGGGGGTCAAGCCCGTCCTCAGCAAGAAGAGCAAGTTCCGGGTGGTGGTGGAAGAGGTACGAGCCCGGGGAAACTCCAGCCCCAGCCCCCCTCTCCTGGCGGAGAACCTCGTGGAACGCCGGGGCGAATCCCAGAGCCCTCGCGGTGATCCCGTCGCCACGCGGAGAGGGGTTTGGTGGAGCACGATGCCACTTTAGCCTTCCCAGCACAGACTTTCTTTGCAAACTTTTCCTTCACTGTTTTAATTTAGTAAAACATGCATTAGCGTTTCCTCCGTCTTTGGAAATGTCACGTTTTCATCCTTATGCCCATGAAATTGCCACCTTGCTGCTGCAGGCAGACTTAAATTCATGTGTACCCGCCTCTGATATATCGCACGTCCTTCTGTGTAGTTCTTGATGTGCTGTATATGTAGACATTGATATATTTTGCCGTTCCTTTTGGCATCCCGGACACAGACCAGAATGCTAGTGTGTGAGAGCGAGTTAACACAGAGTTTAGGATGCTGACGGTCGCCAAGGGGCTGAAACCCCTGGTCGCTGACCGCGGGGAGTCCAGTGCGTTGTGGATTCTCTGTGGGCCGCGAGGTGGAGTAGCGCCCAGGCCTCACCCCTGCTGGAGTCTGGAGTGTTAGCACAGCAGTGAGGTGGAACCTGGTGTCGGGTAATTGCAGCAGGGCATCTCGCAGGGTAGAGGAGACCTGGGGATGAAACTGCAACGTGCTGGATAGCGCTCGACTGCAGCCTGACTTCTGGGTCACTGTTTCTCACAGCTGGCAGTCGTCCGAGGATCTTGGCCCTTTCAGGGGTTCTGTCCCATTGCACTCCGAATCTTTTGCTTCCCCTGGGTCAAAGGTGTGTGCCATGATGAGAGCTGCTCGTCCCTTCCTGACCACCTGCAGGGTGAACGTGTGACAGTGCAGGCTGATCACCTTCATCTCGGGGGCAGGAGCTCCGGTGGCCCCCCCTGCAGATGGCATTGTGTACTCGCCTGCTTGCCCCCTGCCCCCCTTCGGTATTGAGAAGATGTTGTTTTCTCCTCCCTGGTCTGCAGGTCCAGGTGGTGGAGCTGAAAGTGACTTGGATCACCAAGAGTTTCTGCCCCAAGGGCACGGACAGCGTCTACCCGCCCCCTTCGACCATCACGCAGGAGAACCTGTGCAGGTACCGTCTGTCGAGAAGCAGGGCTGGCGTCGCTGTGCCAACATCCCTGCTTTTCACCACCCCAGGAAACTGAGTCGTTCGTTTGCACTTCTGAAAGAATTGAGTTAAAACCAGTTTGTTTTTCACTTAGTTGCCTGTAATGCTGCACCTTGGCATGCATAGATTGTTTGTTGCGGCCAATCCTGATCGACTGCTGTTGTGTTTGTATGTTTCTGCCCATTCTGTCATGCAGGAGCTGTTCTTTTTTTTTTTTTTCCTCTTAAGAAGGTTAACCATAACCCATGTAACAGAGGAGCAGCTGAATCTGAAACGGCTGGTCAATTGAGATATGTCATGCAAGGAAATGGACTGTTTTTTTTTTGTTGTGTAGGCTGGAGGGATGCATTATTGCGTGCTTTTAATTTATTTTGGGAAGCACTTTGGCTGCTTCCAAAGCACCACAGAAATTGCCCGGTGAATAGATGGCTGAGCGCCCCGAACCCCGCTCCGCAGCCCAGTGGGAGTGGAGGCGAGGGGAGTGTTCATGCAGCCCCGGGCGTGTTCCTCTTGTCCTAGAGTGAAGCGGCTAGGCTACTACGACCACACCCAGAGGCAGCTGGGGGAGCGGGCGCTGTACGTCTTCCCTGCCAAGGGGGAATCCACGCAGATCACCTGTGAGGGGCCGGAGGGCGTGCCCGTGCTGCCGGAAGGCTCCGTTGCTAAAAAGGTGCGTTTTGGCTGCATCTGCACGGAGTCTGTTTCTCCCTCCTCCTCCTCCTCCTCTTTATCCGCAAGCCATTTTGTGCGTCTCCTGCCCCCAGGTGAAACGGCTGCTGAGGAAGGAGATGGGGAAGAAGTCCGTGGACGCTGGCGAGGCGCAGGGATCCGGCGAGCAGCAGGCGGAGAAGGCGGCCGACCGGGCAGGTACATCCTGAGCCGTTCATGGCCGGAGGAGGGCACGGGGGCGTGGTGAAAGAGCAGGGGAAGGGCCGGCGCTGGCGAGGGAGCCAGCTGGGCCTTTGTTCGCTCCGCCAGTCAGTAAATCTAGAGAGAGGCCGCGTTGCGAGGCTGCAGGCTCGACCCGCGCTCCGTTCGTTGGTGCAGGGTAGTCTTGGTGTCTGTGCATTCCAGTATGGCTGTCAGCAGGGGCCCCATAGGCTCCTCCCTCCCGTAACCTCCTGGGCCCTCTTGCTTGCTCCTGCCAGGAGAGAAGCAGCCAGTGGCCGAGGGGGGACCAGGGGAGCCCCAGCCGGAGCAGAGCCGCCCCAATAACGGGCCGGTGGCGCCGGGCACGGGACGGGCCAGAGAGGCGCGGGAGGGGCCGGTGGTGCCGGAGCTGTGGGTGGAGTCGGGGGAGCAGGACGCCGACGACGAGGCGGCGGACGACACGGACGAGACCAGCTCCGTGACCTCGTCGGCCAGCTCCACCGCGTCCTCGCAGAGCGGCGGCGGGGGCCCCAACCGCAAGAAGAGCATCCCCCTCTCGATCCGCAACCTCAAGAGGAAGCACAAGAAGAAGAGGACCAAGTTCTCCCGCGAGTTCAGGCCCGGGGACAGGTGCGTTCTGGTGGGCAGACAAGTGGGCTAAACCAGCAAACGGCACATTTTTCGTTTCTGTCTGTATTTGCTTAGCAGGGGCCCCTGCCCAGGGGATGTATATGGTCCTTCCAGTAAAGAGCAAGTAAAAGGTTTGTTCCATGCTGAAAGGAGAAGAATGGAAATGCAACGTTTCTCCCAAAGAAGGCTCCACAGCTGAAAAGGTTGTGTTTCCTTTCTTCTCCTTTCAGCATAGAACAAACCTTTTACCTGCTCCTTTGCAGCCTATGCATGCTGACGCAGCTCCCTACTTGAACTACTTTGCCCTTCCAATAAGCAGGCATGGCACCTGCTAAGGAACAGGCGAAGGTTTTTCCCATTTGGAAAAGACCCAGCGTTTCGGCTGTGGAGCCCTCTGCGGGTGTGAGGGAGAGAGGGAAACGGGCAGTTGATAAAGCAGGGGAGAACACAAGACAGGATAGTGGGGAGCAGGAGAGAAGGACTGGAGGAGAGGTGTGAAGTCAAAACCTGCAAATGAACAGAGAGGATTAGAAGGAGTGCCGAGTAAACACTTACCTGTTCGTTTGTGAGCGGCGCATGCTGAAGCAGCAACCTTCTTGAACTCCATACCTGGTAGCATGGCCTTGTGCACCATGTAGGGCCATATAGGGATAATTATGCACAATGATGGATCTTTGTGTTGGCTTTGGTGTTCATTTTAATAGGTCAGGGCTGTGGTTCTGAAAAGCGAAAGCCTTTTTCTGACACGTCAAAATGTAACGCCTTCCTCGGGTCCTGTTGCACCTACTGTATGGACTCTGTGCAACTCTTAGTTACTCTGCACCCTCACTCGCACATGAGGGGCCTGGGCTTGTGTGTGCAGTTCGTTCCTTCTCCACTCAAGGACGCGGAGCAGTGGATTAGTGGTGTCGCGGCGGGCTGTCCCCTCCGGAGCAATCCCAACGTGTCTGTGCCTCGTTCCTGGCAGGGTGGCGGTGGAGGTCGTCTCCACGAAGACGTCCGCGGACGTGATGTGGAAGGACGGGACCGTGGAGACGAATGTCCGCTCCAACGACCTGATACCCATCCAGCACCTGGACAACTACGAGTTCTGTCCCGGAGACTTTGTGGTAGACAAGCGCCGTGAGTGTCCCTGGGGGCCCCGCCGCTGTCCCGCTGTCCCACTCCTTCTTCCACCGGCCAGGGGGGGACGGGTTACCTCCTCAAAGAGGAAGTGAAGTCTCCTACTCTCGCAGCTGTCCAACACAGGGCCAGTCCTCGCTGGAAAAGTGCCACACCTTGAGCTAACTCACCCCTTGAAACCTATCAGATAAGATAATAGTATGTGTACAGTATTACACACTGATGAATGGCCCTCCCTGTACTGAAGTGTGTATGATATGAAAATATTTTTATTATATATATATAACACAATAGAAGTGTTAACATTTATGAGGTTTGCCATGCAAACTACACCTGGCATGAAGTCTGAAGTCCAGCGATGAAGCCTGTTGCTGGATGGGAGACCTCCTGGGAAAGCTAAGGTTGCTGCTGGAAGAGGTGTTAGTGAGGCCAGTAGGTCCTAATGCCCCAGTATAGTGACGGGGACACTATACTGTAAACAGGCGCCGTCCTTCGGATGAGACGTAAAACCGAGGTCCTGACTCTCTGTGGTCATTAAAAATCCCAGGGTGTTTCTCTAAAGGTAACATAACCAGGTGGGTGCTGCACATTAGTGGTGGTGGAGGGGAGTCCCCATTACCTGTAAAGCACTTTGAGTGGAGTGTCCAGAAAAGCGCTATATAAGTGTAAGCAATTATTAATTAATTATTATTATTAAAGGAGTAGGGGTGTTACCACGGCGTCCTGGCCAGATTTCCCCCTGGCCTTAACCAGTCGTTGCCTCTTAATAACCCCCATCTCTGAACTGGCTTCATCACTCCTCACTGAGAGCTGGTGTGTGGTGGACATCCTGGCGGTCTCTGGCTGCTGCTGTATCGTTGACAAATCATTCGCACTTGCTGGAAATTTGCTCCGCACGCACATCCTGAGACGGTGCTTGTTTCTCCCTGCCGGTTTGCAGCCCAGGCCTTGCAGGATCCCGGGGTGTACGGAGTGATCCAGTCGGGGGACCACAGGGGGCGCACCTGTGTCGTGAAGTGGGTGAAGATGAACTCCAGTGGCAACGACGTGGAGGTTTGTTACAAGCGTGCCCGTCACTTCCTACTTCGGGCTTACCTGACGTGTTCGTTCATGACACAAGGAGCCAGGGCATCAGCTCCAAGACCACGGCCGGGCATCTCATTCCGCCCTCCCAGAACCCTCTGGGTGAAGATGTGCTTCCCGTTCTCAGTTATAAATGCACTTAAAGCCTGTCTTGGGAAGTTGGGGTACCTTGGGGTGCAAAGCCCGTTTAAATGTGTTTAAAATGTGATGATTGAACAGCTATCCAAGGCTTGATCTGGGCGGATCGCTCTTCGTCAGCCCTTAGCAGCGGTCCGGTCTGTGGCCGGCTGGCCTGTGAGAGTATCGGACACGAGGTGTGTGTGTTCTTCCCAGGTGATCGGGACGGAGGAGGACGTCAGTGTGTACGACATCGCCGACCACCCCGACTTCCACTTCCGCACCACTGACATAGTCATCCGGATCTGGAACTCTGAAAGCGCCCAGGAGGTGGACTGTGAGAACCAGGTACCTTCCCCAGCTCGCAGCTGCCACTGTTGTACTCTTCTAGATATTCAAGCTTTTGAAGAAGTGTCTCTCGCCCCCCCCCAAGTAGCATCAAGAATCTCTGTTCCAGGCTCCCTGTTCAGACAGTAGGATTCTGGGCTCTCTGAAGTCTTTGCAACAGCAACTGAAATTTAGGGCATATATTCCCCCCACATCATTCTATAACTCTTTTTCTGGGCAGGAGAGTGGCAGAAGTTCTGCAGCTTCTCTGATTTATTCAGTTTTGCCTGTTCCTGGGCCTGTCCCCTGTCAGCCTCCACGAGACCCAGTGGACTGAATCTGAATCTGACAGCGGGACGGGCCCTGTACTGCCCGTCTGAGATGTTGCTCCCCTCTCTTCTCCCCCACCCCAGCCGTCGGTGGGGCAGGTGTCTCGTGTGGACCTGAGCAGCAAGGTGGAGGTGGTTTGGGCGGACAACTCCAAGACCATCGTGCTCCCCCAGGTACTGAGCTGTTGGGGTGGATGTCGGTGTCATTTTTGTGTGGCTTTGTTCAGGGCGCAGGCTTCTCCGGCCGAGGGCTTGATCTTAAGCAGATGCTTGTGGCCGCGCACGTGGCGACCGGCGCTTCTGGGCGTTGTGGAGTGGAAGTGACGGACTCCGGCCACCAGGTGGAGCTGTGTTCCTGACTGTGTCCCTGTGCTCCTCGGCCCCTGCAGCACCTGTACAACGTGGAGTCGGAGATCGAGGAGACCGACTACGACTCGGTGGAGGGCAGCAGCAGTGGCGCGTCCTCGGAGGAGTGGGAGGACGAGAGCGACAGCTGGGAGACGGACAACGGGCAGGTGGACGACGAGCACCCTGGCGAGGGCGCGGCGCCCACCCCCACGCCCACGGGCCCCCCGGCGCCCCCCGAGGGGGGCAAGCCGCTGGCCCAGCGCCCCACCGTGGTGGAGGAGCTGGAGGGGGCTCTCGCCACGGCCTCGTTAGCCGGGGCCGGCGCGGGCGCGGGGGACGAGAAGCTGGCGAAAGAGGGGACGCCGCGGGGCTTCCGGGAGCTGAAGGAGGCGCTGAAGATCCTGGAGAGCCTGAAGAACATGACGGTGGAGCAGCTGTGGACCGGCTCGCCCACCTCGCCCACCGTGGAGCCCGAGAAGCCCACCAAGGAGAAGAAGTTCCTGGACGACATCAAGAAGCTGCAGGAGAACCTGAAGAAGACGCTGGACAACGTGGCCATCGTGGAGGAGGAGCGCATGGAGGCCGTGGCCGAGGTGGAGAAGGAGGAGAAGCACCAGGAGCCGCCGACGCCCGTGCGCTCCGACTGGCCCAGCGACACGCCCGTCCTCTGCCAGCAGAGCGGGGGCAAGCCGGGCGTCACCTTCACCAGCGCCAAGGGGGAGGTCTTCTCCGTCCTCGAGTGGGCACCCGGTAAGCCAGCCTCGCCAGCCCCTTCCCCCCGGGCACACGGGGTCACACCCCACCCCCTCCCGTGTTCAGGCCCTGACGGGTCGCCTGCAGCGCGGCAAGCAGATAAACGCCACTTTCTTGGGTGCTGCTGGGCGGGGGTGACGTTAACCCACTGGGAAATGTTCGCTGGTTGTGGGAACCCATGGGGAAGGCACAGGGTTTAAGGCAGGTCGCTGTAGTTTAGACCTGTTGTGAACGCCTGCTGATGCTGGAGCTGGGGAGGTCAGTTGTCTGAGGATAAAAATGAAACAGTCTAGATGTCTTTTTCATCTGCGTAACGATGGGGCTCTGCAGCGCGGCTCTGTTGGCGAGTCAGGGGGTTTCAGAGTGTTGGCGTTGGGGGGAACGGACGGGCTGCCTGCCAGGGACCTCGCCGAGCCTCTGAGCTCTTGTCCTTTCGTCCCGTGTGGCTCTGCAGACAGCCACGCCTTCAAGAAGATGGAGTTCCAGCCCGCGGAAGCCAAGAAGTTCTTCAGCACCGTGAGGAAGGAGATGGCCCTCCTCGCGACATCGCTCCCGGACGGCATCATGGTCAAAACCTTCGAGGACCGCATGGTGAGCCGAGCCCCGAGATCGGCGACGGCTCCTCGCGTTGGCCTGGAGTCGTTTCCTAGAGCCTTTCCTCCTTGTTCTGTTGCTTGTGGCAGGGGCTGCCTGCCTTGTGATGTCCCTGGGCTGACGAAGGGCAGTGCAGTCCCCTCTCAGTCATTAGGCAAATGAAGATCCTCCATTCCTCTCTTGGCTGGCTGGCTGTGGGGAGTCCTTGCCGCTGACCTGTATTAAAGGGGGTGCCCCTTCTCTCCCCTTCCAGGACCTGTTCTCTGCCCTAATCAAGGGGCCCACGCGCACCCCCTACGAGGACGGCCTGTTTCTCTTCGACATCCAGCTGCCCAACATCTACCCGGCGGTGCCGCCCCTCTTCCGCTACCTGTCTCAGTGCAGCGGCAGGCTCAACCCCAACCTGTACGACAACGGCAAGGTGTGCGTCAGCCTGCTGGGCACCTGGATCGGCAAGGTGAGCCCAGCCCAGCCCGGCCCGCCCTCGGGCCCCGCCTCTGCCTTCTCGTGCCCCGCCTGCGCTTCTCGACTGTGCTCCAGCGGACCTTGCCGTGTTGCTTGTCTCCGGTCTTCAGATTTGGAAGCGCCTGGAAACGGGCTGCGGATGATCACAAGGACTGCCGTCTCTCCGTTTCTCTCTCGGCGTCTCCTGACGGCTTGTCTGCTTCCTCCCCACAGGGCACTGAGAGGTGGACCAGCAAGTCCAGCCTCCTGCAGGTCCTCATCTCGATACAAGGTGAGTGCAGCTGTGAGCCCTGCAGGCAGCCTCAACGCAGGACCGCCACACAACTCTGTGGCAGCAGACACGGACCGGCCCCTCTGGGAGAGTGTACTGGGGCCTCCTGTGTGGTCCAGCTGGTAAAGGCGCTTGCCCAAGCTCTGTGGGGTTCGAGCCTGGGTCGTGTCACTAGCGGACTGTGACCGGGATTTTCCAAGAGGCGCCGCACTGTGGCCTGAGCAGTAGTGTCGCTCTCGGCGACACAGCGCCCCCTGTGGCGTCCCGGGCACTTGCAGAATTGCGTTGCTGTGGGCGCGGGCAGCAAGTTTAGTGTGTTAAGTCTGTTTAGTGTGGGAGGCTCACAAGCTACAAGCTGAGATGTGAAAAGGCATTATTGGCTTTTCCACACCGGGTCTGTGTAAAAAAGACAAAAAAAAAATTACAAACATTGCTGGCAATTCTAAAAGAAAAAAGATTGTACTACAGCGTTTCTTATTTAGTATTTATTACAGGCACTCTGTCTAAAAATACGTTTTTAAGTGACAGTGTTTGACAATAAGATAGCGTTACATTAATCCAAAACGCTGTCGAGGCTTTTGCTCAAGTTGTAAGGATTAGCGGATTCCAGAGAAGTTGAGGAGGCTGGGGATTCATCAGCCGGTCTCGCGCATCTAGACATTCTCCCACCACGTACAGCTCGTTAACTTCACTTTAATTGCTTTTGACCCTCTCCAGCCCCTCGTTGTCAGACAGCTGGTTTTAATCCTCGCCTTGAAATTTGCCTTCCCAGTCTGCCGGATACTTCACTCGCAGGATTTTCCAGCTCGCGCCGGACGAGAGCCTCCTGTATTAATAAAGTAGCAGGGCCTCAGTCACGCAGAGGGGGGGGGTGGGTGTTGCGACGCCCCTGGTTTTCTCTTTTTTTCACTTCTTCCCTTGCCCTCTCCTCCGCGCAGGGCTGATCCTGGTCAACGAGCCGTACTACAACGAGGCCGGGTTCGACAGCGACCGGGGGCTGCAGGAGGGCTACGAGAACAGCCGCTGCTACAACGAGATGGCGCTGATCAAGATGGTGCAGTCCATGACCCAGCTGCTGCTGCAGCCCGTGGAGGTCTTCCAGCAGGAGATCCGCGAGCACTTCCTGTGCGGGGGCTGGCGCCTGGCGCACCGCATCGAGAGCTGGCTGGAGATCCACGAGCGAGAGAGCCGGGCCCCCGAGCAGCTGCCCCTGCCGCCGCCCGCCGAGCCCGGGGACGAGCTGGCGCCCGGCCCCCCCCACGCCCAGGGCAGCCCGATCGGCCTGGACCTCCGGGAGGAGGAGCTGGAGGACTCCGGCCTGGGCACCTCCACCATCTCCCACCAGGAGCTGAGCCAGCACTCGGACTCGGAGACCCCCACAGCGAGCAGGGGGCTCCCTCTGGGCGGGGAGCAGGGCAGCAGCGCTGTGGCGGGGGAGCAGAAGGCACCCCAGGACTCCTCGGGGGGAGCCCAGCCCGTGGTCAGACCAAAGAAGAGGAGAAAGAGCTACCGCAGCTTCCTGCCCGAAAAGAGCGGCTACCCCGACATCGGCTTCCCCCTCTTCCCGCTGTCCAAAGGCTTTGTCAAGAGCGTCCGCGGCGTCCTGCAGCACTACCGCGCCGCCCTCGCCGCCGCCGGCGTTCCGGAGAGGAGGGACGACAAGTGACCGGCCCGGCGGGCGCTCCCCCGCCAGGCCCGGCCCGCTTCCTCCGCCACTCAGTGTTCTCCAGCCGCCGGCGCGGCCCGGCCCGGTGCTTCAGAAGAGCTGCCCGGGGCCCGGGGAGAGGGCGGCTCTCCCTGGTGGTCCTGGTTCTCTCCCGTTCATCGCCTCGTCCCCGGCCGTTTTCCCGGCTCCTCCCGACGCGCGGCGGAACTCCAATCGCTCAGGGAGACCTCCGAGGTGGATCGAGTGCCTTGACGACGGGGCGTCGGCGGAGTTCTCTCCAAAAACGGTTCCTCGCGGCTCGAGCCTCTACGAGCTGGTCCAGCTCGGGTTCGCGGGGGGGGGGCTTAGGGGGCGAATCCCGGGATGTCAACGCAACGCACAACTGAAGCAACGGGCCGCAATGCCGGGGGGGAGGGGGGTGGCCGTCCTGGGCGGCTCTGAAGAACACTGATGGTGCCGAGACTGTTAGCAGCATCCGCCTGCAGACCAACGATCCTGCAATCTGGTAGAGGGGTGGTCACCGGCACCTTACTGTACCTGCGACAATTAAACGATAAGGGTTTGCATGAGTTAATTAATGTCCATGTAAAGTCTTCAATAAAGGAAGCTGAAAGAAGAAAGGATTGTCTCCTCGTGACGGTTCTGGTCGAAGCCTGGGACTCGACTGGGGAAATTGATTCTCCCCTCCCATCCCTCGGCTTAACTCCAGATGGTCCTGTGCTGTAGCTGCACACAGCTCCCCCAGCTTGCGTTTGCAGGCTGGAGAGAGTGCTGTGCATTCGCTGCATCTGTGTAACAAAAAGGAGGTAGCCACAGCAAGGTGGTGTGCAGAATAGGGTTCTCTTCTGCATTAGGAGGAAGCCGATACCCAGCTGCTGTAAGTTAGCGCTCTCGCTGGTTAACTCGGCAAGAGGTGTCCATGGCTGTGTGGAGAGGTCAGATTGCACCCTCCCAAGATCTACATACTGTAGGTGTGTTGGAATGTTTTTCTTTTGTCTGAATATACAGTATAAAGAGATCTGGACTGTGCCCACACCTTGCTGTTTAGGTATAAATCATGTTTTGCACCAGATATTGGGATATAAATAAGTTTTATGTGTTCGAAAGAACTGACCCCTGTCTCCAGTGACCTGTTCAGAAAAACCTACTCTTTCGCATGAGCCTTTGGGGATACCCAACTCTTTAGTGTTTCATGTTCGCAGCGATAACTGGATTCATCTTTTTCCTCTGGGGGAAAAAAAAAACTTCAGATCAAAATGTTGTGAATGTGATGCTTAGTTTGGGAAATGTTGTGAAACAAATTCTGCATCGACGGCAGTTGTTTTGCAGTACATCCCTTTGAATGGGGGTGTTCCTTTTCCACATCTGTCCCAGCTGGAGTAGCAGGAGTCGGGTGTGTGCTCGGGTTTGAGGCGGAAACCACAAGTGGGAGACGTGTACACAAAAAAAATGAAGGGTCTTGTTTTTGTAGCTTGTTCACTTTAGACTTTGCCAGGAAACACTGGAGATCCATCACCTTTCTTAACATCCAAGTCTGCCTTCGATAGACATGATCACTTTTTTTGCGCAGTCCGCTGAAGCTGAGGTTTGATCCCAAACCTGAGAACTGCTGCCTGGTTTCAGATATTATAATGTTGCCTTACTTATTTTAGTCGGGAGAGCATCCTACTCCTGTTGGGCCTCCCCTTGTTCGGGAGAGTCTGTTTGAATGTGTTCACTCCCCCACAGTGGAACAAGCTCAGGAGTGGGAGAGGGAAGGGAGATATTCCAGGTTTACAGGCAGCAGGTTGAGAAGCTGTCTACCGCTCATCTGATGGAGACCTCGCTCTGACACGCGTGCTGGCTCGGCTGAGTCGCCTTCCAAAATGACCTCCTGGTCTCCACCGCCTTGGACGGTGGTATGTGGTGGGGAACTGGATTTTGTGGCCCTGGGAATGGCTGAGTTTATGCACTTGGCATTTAAAAATGTGGTGCAATTTAAATAACATTTGAATTTCTGCGACCAGCAAGAATTGCCTCTATAAATCAGCCCAGCGCTTGTCAATTCGGTCGTGAGCACAAAAACTGAGAGCTGGAAAAACGCAATGTTTTCCGAGGTGTATTTTTGCAGTGCAATACTGGAGCGGAGCTGTGCTGAAGGCCACTGATCGGTTCTGACTCCGTGACCTCGCTGATGGCCACTGTGGTCTAACTGCAGGTTTAGGGCCAGACAGGTGCCATGCTGGCTGCAGTGGCTACATCACTGCCCCCCGGTTAGCTGGCCCATCAGCTGCTTTCCTTCTTTATTTTTGGAACTTTCAGAGTTCGCTCAAAGATCTTTTTTTTTCTGTTGTCATCGAAGTTGATAGTGAAAAGAAAATTTGACCCGTCTGTGTTCTATGATTGTGCATAACCTCAGCCAGCTCCCCAGCTCGAGGTCAATGGAAGTCGGAGATGTAGGTTGTACAGGATATTTTTTTTTAGCCATTAGATTTGTAAAACGGACAAGTCCACCCCCACCTCCTTCTACTAAATGACTTTCATTTTTCACTTTGCTGCCTGTAAGCCTAGGATGACTTTTTTTTTTCCTGTAGCTGCTGTGCCTGTAATGACTGGGTCCGTTTTCTCCATTTCTGCGACTCGAGCGAGTTTCACATGCTGTCGTCCACCACCCCACTGCCAATCCAGCAGAAAAAAAAGATTCTAAGCACATGAAGCTATGTAATATTTCCTGTGTAGGTGTATAATAATATTTAAAATAAGCATTATTATGGTAAGGTCCTGCCAAAGCATGTATTGTTGCTTTAAGCCTTAGAGATGGCTACACCACTGGAACTTGACTATGATGTGAACATTTCTGCAGTGGCCTGTAATGAACAAATACGTTATGGTTTGTAGCCTGATTCTTCTGTACAGAAGTCACAACTATATAGACATATTAAAACAAGTTTAAAGTGGTGATGTAAATGCTCGGGTTGTCGATGTGTAAATCGCAGGGTGTATGTTTTTGGGGTTTCCATGCCATTTATTATGGTTGCATTATGGAAAGTGTATAAATAAAGTGACACATTAAACTCTGAGCAACACTTGACTTGATCAGCAAGGAGTGTTTAATCGATTTTACCGGACACCTGTTTTCTTTTTTTCTTAAAAAAAAGTTTTGAGCTCCAGCAAGATTCTTCATTTTACAAAAGTTAGATCTTTGCACAGTGTAAAAATATAGATGTCGTCTCACACAGTACAGTAGCTGGCATTGATTATTCTACGAAGAAAAAAATAACAGTACCATAGCTTCACCATCATGGTCCCAGGACAGCAGCTTTTTCCACAACAGTTTTTTCACGACAGCAGCTTTTAGGGGACCTGGCACAGACCCCCCCCAGATGATTGAGTGATGTGTGAAGAGCTGTAATGAATGTTTTTGTGGCTCATCGGTCATGACAGTATTCCAGCCAGGATCGGCCGCCCAGTGCCCTGCTTGTAGGGTGGCACTGGCACCCACCCCCCACTACGGGCAGCGAGACCACTGAGCTGGACCGGGAGGTCAGAGGACTTGTAACAACCCTTCTCTTCCACCCTCCTTCAAGTACGATTAGTAAGGGGGGGGGAGAGGTATTTAAAAGTACAAAGCTTTTGCCATCATTGCAAAGCTGATGGCAGATCTTTCATACAGATAAGGCCTAGTTCATATTAAAATCTGAAAGTGTTAAATGAAGTGCAAATTATAAAATGAAGTTGTGGAGAGAGAGGGATTAAAAATAATGGCTTTTTTTCCCTCACGTATGGGTTTGTTAAAATCATTTACTAAACAGATTGTGGGAGGCTGCTTTGGTGCAGATTTTTTTTATATATAGATTTGTTTTCAAAAGAGATCTTTTTTTGTTCTGATTCCCGTAAGTACCTCTGTTGATACCTGAACACATCTGATTTTCACCTGTACCTTAACGCGCACAGTTAAATTTGCATATTGATTGATTTTTGCATAGTCAGAACTCCTACCGGGGGGCCTGCTTCCAGCACATCTCACTGCAGCTGTGAACACAACACTGCCATCGTGTACAAGCCCAGCATTGCAGTCTCCTCCCTGTCTCGGTAAGCCAGCACTGACTGAACAAAGCAGCCTCCTGTGGGGAACAGAATAAACCTACACCATCCTTCATACGCTCCTGCCCCAAAGCTGTTGTTAAGACAGCTGTCGCATTCAGAAAGACTATAAGTAGGAAATACTTCTGGAACGAGACTATTTTTACAGAAGGGAGTTTACCCACAGCATAGCGGTGCTACACAGTACAAAATTCCTCATCGCTGTGTCAAGATAAATTTAGCCATTCTCTGTTTTTTTTTTTGTTTAGAAGCAGATTAACTCTCTTCTGTCTGTACAGTTCTCCATTCTACATGCAGACTCAGCCATGTGGTGTCAGGGGCTGTCCAGTATGGTAAAACCCAGTAGTTTCCCCATTCACAGCAGCAGCAAAGGATTGCAGCAATTGCTCTACTCATAGGAAAGGCAAACAGTGCAATAAAATAGACCAAGTGTCTCATGCAGCATTTTGCTAATCAATAACCCAGAGCCACAGCTCCATGCTCAATTGACCATGCTGTGCATTGCCACTCATGATCCTTAATTATTATTCAATTATTAAGTCTTTTTTTTTTAAAAGAAAAGCTTCAGTTAAGGACACATAAGGTATTAATGGCTCAGAAATCTGAGTACTGGAGAGCTGTGGTGTACCTGTCCACAGCTGAACTGCACGGCCATCCCTCCTAAATCCCCACCCTCCAGCGCTCAGGTGTTGGGAGAGGGACGGTTCGGGTGGTGATGGCCAGAACCCAGGCTGAGATTTAACCCTTTCAATGTAGTGCCAGCCTTTGCCAACTATTCAATACTTCATCTGCAATATTTTAACACGACCAGCCCTCAGTTTAACTGACGTCTCGGGCTCTCCTATCCTGAAAAAATCAGCCATGTACCATTTATAATGGGGTTTAAAAAAAAACACCAAAAGTGCTAGATGTAAAGAGAATGAGGATGTCACTTCTAGTTGCTAAGCACTGGTGACGAAGTTGCTCTTTTTTTTTTTTAAATGTCACGTCAGAACGCAAGACCTCTGTCCTCATCCTACAGCTGCTTAGAGAGAGAAGACCATGAAATCTAGATCTCAGCAAGACAGCTGAAAAATGATCTGCTTTAGGTAACGTTCTTCAGTGACACTTCACAGCGAAGAGCTTTTCCTGTCACCCTGAAGACTTCACGTTGCAGGCTGAAGAAACTGAGTGACCGTCTGAGCATTTACAGGGCGCGATCTGATAGAGCAGGAAGAAGGACGCTCAGATTCTCACCAGGTCCCAGTGATACATCGCCCACGATTCTCATACAGTCACAGAGCCCCCCACTCTAGTGAAGGGATTATTGTCTGTGGAGGATTCTGTCTGAAAAGGGTCAGAAGGATCACAGGTCCAGGGGTCAGCACTTGGGTTCTCCCGCCCCAGCTGTAGTACAACGAAGCAGGGGCAGCAGGAGCCCGGCGCCGGCCGTCAGCCCGTGACGAGCCGGCCCAGCCCGCTGTGAACCTGGACCTGGACGGGCCCGTACTCCACCGCCTCGCCGTCCACCGTGATCATGCCCTTGGGGCTGAGGGGCTCCAGCCTGAAGGCCCGCGCGCGGACGTGCACCAGCTGGGGGCAGCCGGCGGCCAGGTGCGCGCCCCTCTCCATGGCCAGGAAGAGCCGCAGCAGGGCGGCCCGGGACACGCCGGCCCGCACGTAGAAGAGGTGGAGCAGCCCGTCGGCCGGCGCCGCGAGCAGGTCCTCCGCCAGGTGGGACTGGTACATGGCCAGCAGCAGCACGAAGTCCTCCTCCGGCACCGCTGTCCAGCAGCCGGGCACGGGCTGGGCCAGCGGCACCAGGAGGGGGTCCGGCGGGC